GCACACCAACAGAACCCATTTTCCGCAGGTCATCTGTCCAGTCTCTCCCCAAAGCCCCCGGGCCTGCCGTTGCAGATGACCCTCATGAGAGGTATGCTGGACCATAACCTGAGTCTGCAGGAGCCGTCTGGGGCCCGAGGGGGAAAAGGCCCCCAGTGAGACCGGGGGTCAAAACGGAAGATGGAAATCTTGGGCTGAGGGAACTCACTCCAGGTCCACTAAGTGGAGACGGGAGAGGCAGCCTGTGTAGAAGGCTGCTGACTGGGCCACTCGCCCCAGAGGGCAGCTCTGGCGCCCCAATGTTGCCAACGACATCAGACCCATACGTGGGCCAGGCCACAGCTGACCAGGACAGCCTGCAGGAGGAGGGCCCGGGCCTGAGCAATAGCATGGGGGCAGCAGTGTGACCAGGCTGGGCTGGAACATCCAAATTCCTCCACTGGATCAGAACCAAGGGTGCACACTGATTTCTTATCAACTTGCTTGTTTCACTTTGGGGTTACATCAGCTTCCCACCTACTTCTAAGACTCGCAGCTGTTTTACTTATGAGGTGTCTGTGCCGTAAAATACCTCAGAAATAAAACCACCTGAACCCAGAACATTTTCAAGCAAATTACTAATGAAGTAATCCCAACAATGTCTATTTTACTTAAAATTTACCATTTGCTTATTACTTTCCTTCCTAAAATGACTTTCTGATTGCAGTTATATTTCCACTTCTTTTTCTTTCCTATTCTCCAGGAAGGTGTTTTGTTCTCCCAATTATAGGACCCACAGGGGCCTGAAATGTTTGCCTATCTGTCCCTCGGAGCAGATGCACTGTGCCTGTCCTGTGCTGACCTGGGCTGGAGAAGCCTCCCAGTCAGCTCTGTTACTAGAAAACCCTCCCTGTGCAGAGCAGGTACTCCTTCACTCCACCCTCGGCCCTGGGGACTCACAGCCCTGGCCTGCTGCCTGCTCACTTCACCGCTAGCCTGGAAGATAGTTCTCAAGGCCACACCCCTCCCACCAAGCCTCCCACTCCCACCCATTCAGCCAGACCCTGCAAGGATCCAAGTCCCTGCCATGAACCACACCTGCAACGCTGACTGGGTGCTCGCGGCTGGGCCCAGACTCTGCTCCCAGATGGACAAGGACTCACTCAGCCATGGATCCAACCCATGTTTAATAGCACCGACTGTGTAGCAGGGACACGAGGTTGACTGATGGAGCCCTGCCCTAGGGACTCACAGTCCATCCAGAGGCACAAGTCATTACAGTGCTGGGCGTTGAGTGCTGAAGCAGCCAAGTGCACGAGTGGGCGTGGAGGCAGGATGCTGAAGAGCAGAGGGGAGGGCAGCGCGGGCCAAAACAAGACTAGATGCTAACACTGCAGGCAAATGCCTGAAAGGGAGCTGAGACTGGCAAGGAGGCCCCCACTCCACCCTCCTGCATTAAAGCTGTCCCAGTGGGCCAGGGCTGCTGGTAAGCCCGTACATAGGGAAGCACCCTTCTCTGCCAAGACACCCTCCCACTTATACTGAATAATGAAAGCAGCTGCTTTCTCCATGCACCCTTCCTTAACTTCCAGTCCAGAGGATAGGGGACACAGGGAGCAGAGACTGGGGCAGGAGTCAAAGCAGACACCACAGGAGTTAGATCCAAAAGGGCTGGCACAGCAGACCCAGTCCAGTCCCAGCCAGCACTGAAGGGGGTGGGTTTGGGGGGGACTAGTTACAAGGACTGTACAAACTTGATGGGGACTGGTCTACGCAATTCTTTCCAACTAGCGGGAACAGGCCAAGTGAGAAGGCGCTTCCCAACAAGGTGTTGGGATGCAGCCAAGAGCCCAGTGGGAGGCAGCCTCTGGGCCACTGAGTTGGAGAATGAGGGGCACAGGGCAGAGGCCACTGTCCTGCTGTGCCCTGGGGTGGGAGTTTAAGGGGAGCTGTTTGTGCTCAGACATGGTAGACGCCAAACAAGTCCATCTCCTGCCCAGCAATGGGGCAAGTGGACAGGGCACTACCTGGTGCACCCCATCTAGAGTTAGCTGGCAATACCCCACTGTCCTGACAGGGGGGCCGTGGGGTTCCCTGGTCACGCAGACCACTTCATGACAAGGGGGCACTGCCATACCTGCCCAGGCCGTGTTCGGAATCCAGTGCTGTGGGTTGGTGCGTGGGACAGAATGGTGGCTCTCCTAGGGTGGCTGGGGTGTCCACTGCCCCCTCTGGGGTACCTAAGGATGCCTCCTGGCCTGCCTCTGTCTCAGAAACCTCCTCCTTTGTTTTCTGGGGTCCTGGACCCCCTGGGTTAGTGGGACCTGGTTTCTGGGCAGGGGGTTCAGCAGATTCTGCAACTGCAAGGACAGGTTTGGGGGCCGCCTCCCCTGGCTGGGAAGAAGATGGCCCCACGGGACCAGGACCAGCACTGCCTGCAGAGTTGGACAAGGCAGAAGGTTCCACAGGCCCAGAGCTGCTCTCCATGGCTAGCAGCTGCTCAGATAGAGCATTTCTAGATGTGGAATTGGAACTAGAAACAGTGGGGGTGGCCAGAGCAGCGGGGACAGACCTGGGGGGAGTGCCCATGTTGAGGGCCAAGGCCTCTGAGAACCTAGCTAAGTACTGTCTCACTACAGGCAGCTGTGGGGCCACTGGTGGCTGGCTCGAGGCCAGAGGCAAAGAACAGGGCCCTGCAGCGTGGTACTCAGCAAAGTTGTTTGGGTTTTGAATAACTTCCTCAAGATCCTGGCAAAAAAGCTCATAGTTGTCAGGCAGGGGCAGGTCCCCATCGAGGTAGGGGGCTGCCCACGCCCGGGCTCGGCCCGTCAGGCGCCCGAGGATCTCGCAGACGCGGCTGAGGTTGTCCCGGTAGTGCTCAAAGCGGAAGGACATGTAATCACCCAGCTGGGCCAGAAAACGGTCCAGCAGCCAAGGGGAGCCATCGAAGGTGCCTGGGTCTGAGCCGGGCACCCAGTGGAAGTCCACCCTGAGGGGCCGCGGGCCCATGCGCATTGCCGGGGGGCCCCTCTCCGCGGGCTTACAGCCCACAGCACCACTCGCTGACCTCTTCTGCTCCATGGTCGTGCGCACACACACAGGGTCCCCACAGCAGGGCCGCTCAATCCAGGGATCCACTAGGGGGGTGTACGCAACCCCAGGAGTGGCCCCGTCCTCCTGCCAGGGGTGTGCATTGGCGTAGTTGGCTGCCGCCCGGATGGGATTGCGAGGGCCCTGGCGCCGGCCACGAGGCATGCTGGGAGCAGACGGGAGCTGTCACGTCAACTAGAGAAAGAAGGGGGAGAGGAGGGAGGGACGGCGCCCAGAGGGTGGGCAGAAGCGGCGCGCAGACACAACGGGACAGACGGTTGCGAAGGGGTGCTCCAGGCAAGTGCTGAGCGGGGAGCTGACCACTGCGGCCTCAGAAGAGCTGAGAAGAGCTGATGGGACTGTCAGACGCAGGCCACCATCCGAGGCGATCTGTCCAAAAACAAGGTGGGAAGAGTGGGAACTAGGCCCAACCACCACCACTGGGCAGCCGACCCTGGGCCCCCACCAGGAGCTGTCCATGCAAGGGGGCCCAGAGGCCTGCCTGGGAGGTCCCAGAAAGCAGGTACATGCCACCTGGGATGTTTCAAGGGCAAGATGTGATGGCGGTGATGTCAATCCCAGGAGGCCAGATCAGGGGGCCAGATCAGATCCCCCTGGGCTTCCTTGGACGGCCTGGATGGCTGTCAAAGAATTTCAGGAGTGACAATAACAACCTTCACTGACGGCTCTAGTCATGGCCAACAATGACCCCTGATGAGGCTGACCCCGAGGCACGGTGGTGAGTAAAGTCACTCGTCTGTGGCCACACACACCAACCAGTTAGTGGCAGAGGCAGCTGACCCCACCACACATCACCACGCCATTTACAAGCTACGCTTCACAGTCCTGTGAACCATCTCCCAGCCGCCCAAGCACTGTACTGTCAGGTGCACAATGTGTCATAAGATCTTTTTACATCACAGCCCCAGAAGCATGGCAAGCACAACCTGTGTGCCTTCCAGCTTTCCCCCCACCCCCACACCCGTCCTGTGTCTCCTAGACTCATGTCGCTACTCACAGTGCAGCCACCCCCACCCCAAACATATCCTCCCTGCATTCCCCTCCCTGTCAACAGCCCAGAATCCGAACTCGAGTTAAATTCCACTTGCTCTGTCTACTCTCCCCACCCCAAGGTGGTCCCTGCAAAGGGCCTGGAGAACAGTGACCATCATCACCCCTGAGCAGCCCAAAGAAACGCAAAACAAAAAAGGAGGTGCAGTTCCCGTCGGATGCAAGGAGTCCTCCCGCAGTCCAGCCTGAGGGTAGCCACCTCCCCAGTCTCCCTGCAACACGAGGTCCACTCCCGGCCTGCACAGAGCGCTCTCTGCTTCACTCCTCCTGGCGCGATTTCCCCAACAAGCCCTCCACACACACACACACCCCGCCCCCCACTGCTCAACCGGCTCCCACCTAGGGGCGCCAGTCTGCACTCACCTTCGGGGCGGCTTCCCACGTGTTTACCTACCCCCATCTGCGGGAGCTCCTCCAGGGGGCACGGCCTGTTGGTCTTTCCGCCCAGGACCTCCCAGGGCGGCCTGCAGCATTCGGAGCCGCCAGGGGCCCCAGCACCTGCCTCCCCAACCCCCAACGCTGGTGGCGAGGCGGGAGGTGGGGGTCTTCCACCCGAAAGCCCGTCCCATCCTAACGCTAAAAACACGCTAGGGAGGCAGAGACCGAAGACAGCAGGTAAATGCCGTCCGGTCCAGTTTCTCACCGAGCGCTGAAAAAACGGTGACCACGAACCACTCCCGCTCCTGCCCCCTGTGAGGGGAGGCAGCCGCTGCCGTGCGCGCCCGGGACCCCGCCCCGCCTGGCTCTCACTAATTCGGGGAGCGAGGTCCCCAGCCTGCCCGGCGCCGAGGGACCCGGCCCTTCCCCGGGACAGGACAGCGCGCGCCCGGTTCAGGCGCCGCCGCACGAAGCCCACCTACCTGCGGCCACGCGGCGCCACGACGGTCCGGTTCCCTCGACAGCGAGTCCGAGCGCACCTACAAAACGGACGAGACCGGCCGCCGCGAGGCGAGGCCAGGGCCGGCGCGGACCGGGGTCGGGAAGGGACGGAAGGGCGCGGACCCCAACACACTAACCCGCCGGGCACAGCCCGCGACCCCAGCCGCGAGCAGCGCGAGCCCCAGCACCGCCTTGTCGTGCGGCCACGCCCCCTGCGTGCGCGCGGCCGACCCCTACGTCCCCGCGCCGGCTCCCGGAACGCCCCTCGCTGGCCTCCCAGCCGCGCTGCGCCTGCGCCCTGCGTTGTGAAGCCTCGGTAGCGCAGGCGCTTCCGGGCCCTGCCAGCGGGGCAGCAGGACGCGAGGGTTGATGGGAGGGCGCTCAGCCGGACGCCGCGCGGAGTGCCACGAGAGCAGGTGGGGCCGCGTGCGCAGGCGCAGGAAGGGCCGGGTCCGGAGGGCGGGCGGGGTCGCGTGCGCAGGCGCCCGCGGCGCGCTGCGCTGAGGAACGGCTCGGTGCGGCGGGATCGTTGCGTCCACCTGGCTCTAGCTGGGACTCAGGGACAGACGCGGCGACAACTGCACTGAGTGCTGAGCGTCAGGAGGGATGTTGGGGGCCGAGGGCACCTGGGAGGGTTGGCACAGAGGGGCTGCAGCGTTTCCTGGACGGAGTGCCCGGAGAGTACCCGTAGCTGGAGACCAGCAGGGGCCGGGCGCGTACGTGCGCCCAGGAGCGACGGGGCGGGGCTGGCCCCGAGGACCGTCCCCTGAGGAGCCCGGTTCCCTCGCCGTGGACGGGCTGGCTCAACTCACCCCTCAAGGCTGGACCCTGAGCGGCTGCCCAGCCAGCGCCCCGGCACAGGAGGCGCCGGTGCGGGGGAGCGCTGTTGCCCTACGTGCGAGACCTCTAGCACCTCGTGCCCCGGGGCCCCCAGGTGGGGACAGGTTGCCAGGGCCAAGGCGGCCGAGGTCACTGGAAGTGATGTAACACCAGCTCCCTTTCTGCCCTGGTCTAGCGACTTCTTTCATGAAACCATCTCTGAAATGTTATCTGCATTTACAGCCAAACTCACTTGCTTTGATCCTTGAAACAGAATCAAAGATTACACTGTACCTTCTCAGGGTTTGTGGGGCTTTCAGCAGCCTCGCCAAAACTAATAGAGGTGGCACCCAGCCAGGAAACGCCTCCTGGAAGTGTGAATGAAACTTGTATTTTTCGGTTGTGTCTTTCCTAATTGACCTGATAATTTAAACTTCCTGCTTCAAAGGAGAAGGGGAGTTCCCGACAGAGTTCCCGACAGTTTGGCAGCTAAGGCCAACTCAGGGCAGTCAGCGGAGAGTGGGCAGCAGACTTGTGCAAAACACCCAACCACACCCACCCAACTGGGCCACACCATCAGAAAATACCTTTTTGGGTCCAAAACTTTATTTTGTTATTCAGGCCATCTTCTATGTATATATATATTTTAAATTGTAAAATATACATAAAATTTATTTTAACCATTTTTAAGTCTACATTCAGTGGCACTAAGTATATTCATATTATTATGCAACCTTCACCACCATCATCTTCAGAACTTTTTCATTACCCCAAACAGAAACTCTGTCCCCATTAAACACTCCTCCTCACCACCCCTTTCCCAAGCTCCCAGTAACCTCTATTCTACTTTGTCTATATTAATTTGCCTATTCTAGGTACCTCGTATAGTTGGAATCACATATTATTTGCCATTTCACTTAGAAGAATGTTTTAAAGGTTAATCCATGGTGTGGCACCTATCAGACTTATTGTTCCTTTTTAAGACAATAATATTCCTTTCTACATATATACAACATTTTGTCTATCCATTCATCTGTTGGTGGACACTTGGGTTCCTCCCATCTTTTGGCTGTTGTGACTGATGCTGCTGTGAATGTGGGTATACAAATATCTGTTTGAGTCCCTGCTTTCAATTGTTTTGGGTATGTACCTAGGAGTGGAATTGCTGGGTCATATGGTAATGCTATGTTTAACTTTTTGAGGAACTGCCAAATTTTCTACAGTGGTTGCATGAGTTTTCATTCCCGCCAGCGATGCACAAGGGTTCCAATTTCTCCACATCTTCACTAACAGGTGTTCTTTTCTTCTTTTTCTTTCTTTTTTTTTTTTTTTTTTTTAAATAATGGCCATCTTAATGGGCGTGATGTGGTACCTTTTGGTTTTGATTTGCATTCCCCTAGTGACTAGTGATGTTGAGCATCTTTTCATGTGCTTATTGGACCTGGATGTGTGTTTGAACTGGGAGGCCCAGAGGCAGTCGTCAGGCTCTGAAGTGTTCAGGGTTGGTGTCAGGTCTGTGGCTCCCCAGAGCTAGGGCAGCAAGGAAACAGGGACACGCAGCCCAAGAGGTGACGCCAGCTGCCTGAGGACTGCCAGCCTGTTAAGCCTGCCTGTGCTGCTTGCCCCTGGACCTTCCTCAGGGCCCGTCCCTAGAGCCAGCTGGTGGACAGCAGAACCCAGAACCATTCCTGCCATTTCTTTGTTCAAATTTGCTCTGGTCGCTCCTACCTTAGTTCTTGTAGTGCAAGCAATCACTCCAGCTGTCACCTTAGTGTCTTCATTTCTCCCTCATTTTTGAATAATATTTCTGGGTTGGCTTTCTTTCTGAATGTAGATTTCATTCCATTTCTTCTCACCTTCATTTTTTCGATGTGCAGTCAGACACATGTAACGTGTCCTTATTCCTCCAACTGTTCTCACAGTTTCCTCTTTGTCTTTGATTTTCAAGAGCTTGACTGTGATATGCCTGCCTGCCTGGCTGTTTGTTTTTATGTTTATACTGCTTGAGATTTGTTGGGATTCTTGGATCTATAAGTTGACCCAAAATTAATGAAATTTCAGGTCATCATTTCTTCAAATTTTTTTTATGCCCCATTCTCTCTCTTTTCTCCCTCCGAAGCACGATTATATTAAACTTTATTTCTTTTTTAAAAAAATAATTATTTATTTATTTGGCTGTGCCGGGTCTTAGTTGCAGCATGTGGGATCTTTGTTGCTGCATGCAGGATGTGCGTTGCGGCGTGCAGGATCTTTTAGTTGCGGCATGCAGGCGCTTAGTTGTGGCACGTGGGATCTAGTTCCCTGACCAGGGATCGAATCTGGACCCCCTGCACTGGGAGCTCGGAGTCTTAACTGCTGGACCACCAGGGAAGTCCCTAGACTTTCTACTGTGGTCTCTCATCCATATTACCTCTATTGTTACTCTCTATTCTTTTGATTGGACAATTCTTATTTATTTGTCTTCAAGATCATTGACCCTTTCTTTTGCCATCTCCAAACTGTTCTTAAAATCCGTTAAAGTCCATCAAGTTACATTTTCATTTATTGTTATACTTTTCAGTTTTAGAATTTCTATTTGGTTCTCTTTGACCATTTCCGTTTCTCTGCTAAAATTCTCTGTGGTCATTCATTATGGCCAATTTTTCCCTTGAGGACTTACCTATATTTATAAAAGCTGTTTTAATATTTAATTCCAGGGACTTCCCTGGAATCCGCTTGCCAATGCAACAGACACAGGTTCAAGCCCTGGTCTGGGAAGATCCCACATGCTGCGATGCAACTAAGCCCGTGCTCCACAGCTACGGAGCCTGCACTCTAGAGCCTGTGAGCCACAATCACTGAGCCCGCATGCCACAACTACTGAAGCCCACATGCCTAGAGCCCATGTTCCACAACAAGAGAAGCCACCTCAATAAGAAGCCCGCACACCGCAACAAAGAGTAGCCCCTGCTCTGCAATTAGAGAAAACCCGCGCACAGCAACAAAGACCCAATGCAGCCAAAAATAAATAAATTTATTTTAAAAAAATTTAATTCCAACATCTGGATCATCTTGGGGCTGGTTTCTAGGAACTGCTTTCTCCTCCTGGCTAGGAATCACATTTCCACGTTCCTCACACATCTAGTCATTTTTAGTTGCGTTCTGGACACTGATGGCATTTTGTAGAGCCTTTGGAGTCTGTTATCTTCTGAAGTGTGTTGGCCTTTGTTTCATCAGGCCTTCCACTTTGAACTTTTGGAGGCATTGTTTTATTTTTGTGAGGGTGGATCTGTTGCAGTTTTGCCTTTAGTCCTACACAAACCCGTTAGTCTTGGAACCTAATTTTTTCTCGCAAGGTGTGGACTTGCTGTAGTTTCAGGGGAAAGCCCACAGTGCTTGCACAGCCCCTGTGACTTGGTGGGACTTGAGATCCAAACTCTCTGTCCCCCTGCAGTGGATGATCACTGAAATCTCTGCTCTCTCCTCCTTGAGTCTCGCTCCCACACGAGCAGTTCAGTCATCAACCAAGGATCTGACGGGAGTTTACATGCAGGTTTTCAGGGATTTTCTCCCTCATTTCCAGATGCTCTGGCTGACCCCAGCTGTTCTCTGGCACCTCAAGCCAACAGGACTACAGCTTCCTATTCCCATTCTGGTCACTGGTGCCCTGCCCTAGGGAGGGCCCTCAGGGGAAAAGCATATACACGCAAATCTCACTCAGTACATTTCTTTTTCCAGTGGCTGGATTCCCTCTAGATTTTTATTGCTTTTGGTTGATCTTCAGTGCCTTCAGACAGTATCTTTTCTATTTTGTGTGGAGTTGATCACTTTTATTTGCAAAAAAGTTAGCTTTATACAAGCTGCTCAGACACCACCCAGACCAGCCCCTCTGCCCCCTGTACATCTGTCTCCAATAGCACCAATCCAGCTATGCCTGCCTGTATTAAGACACACAGCACCTAGTGGAACACTTGGAGCAGACCTGGCCTCCTGCTCCCCTGTGTGGCCCTGGCACATGAGAGCTGGAGGAGGAAAGCTGCAGGAAGTCAGGTCAGCTCTGAGCTGCACCCCTTTCCACGGACACACGGTGTGTGGAGCTCAGACCTTGCAAAGCAGGCTCCTCGGACCTGTCAGGATGGAAAACACAACATAAAGGCTTCACACCCAGGTTCATCAACAGCTGTGCCTCGAGCACCTACTACACACCAGGCACCATGCTGGGGACAGAGACATGAGGAAGGGAGGCTCCTTCAGGGCAAGAGAGAAACACCATTCCAGGAAGGCTTCCTGGAG